AGACTAAGCTTGAGACATCATAGTAATGCAATGAACAGGATGCATGAGAAGCGCGAACAAAAGTTAATGAATTTTTCTAATCAGCTAGATGCGACAAAATTAAAAAAATCAAATTATAAGGTCAGTATTTATAACTCACCTGATTCATCTGACTGATTATCTACAGATAAGGATAATGAATGGAGAGGATCTCCCGTTAAGAGATTTATATCTCCTGCATGGAGCGATGATGAGAGTTGATTGAGGTTATGTTCGATGGAAGAAAGGCTAGATGTGCTGCTGCTACTATTACTACTGCTACTGCATCCATTAGTAGCAACGCTACAACTTAGGCTGTTGGCAATGTCATTTATCCCGCATACAGCAGAACTCTCAAGCATGGCATTAGCAGCCAGTGGAGTGATATCCAAAGCGACAGGTGGTGAAACTATCGTCAAGGGCAACTCTTGATCCAACTCAGCTTGGTCATGATTACGGGCATCAGCTGGTGGTGCATCCTCTGGAGGACATATGGCCAGTCTTGTTGGCAGTCCTGGTAGAAGGGAATCTGAACAGGCTAAGGAATCAGACTCAGTAGGTGGGTGTGAATCGGGACCGCTAGAATCTAGTGTTGAAGTATTTGGAGTCTCATCGAGGGAGTCAATGGAGAAGACGACGGAAGTAGTTCCTGCCGAACGCATCTTTCGTGAGATGGGCTTGACAGTTGATACAGCCAGGTGTGTTTTTGCGGAAGAGGTTGAGGTCTTGGGCGAAGCCCGTGGGGATGCATTTGAAGCAGATCTGAGGCGCTGACGAAAGGAAGTGGAGCTGATTGACTGTCCAGTTATAAACCCTTTTCGACTTGAACCGACTGTGAGTAGATTGTTATCTACACTTGTTAAAGTATTGTCAACGGCTTCAGGGGTGGTTGACGTAGTGGATAGAGTGGAGTGTGAAATGCGATCATGCCGACGTGTGTGTGATACACCAGTTATGATGGGCCTAACATCGTTGTTAGAAGGTAAGTAAGCTGGTCTGGAACAAGATGAAGATGAAGAGACAGGGCAAGGATTAGTTATGGATGATGAAGATAAATTGGAAGATGGGTGGAGCGAAGCGGCCGCTGGCAGGAGCTGAAGAAGGCGCCTAGCGCGTGGTTTAAAACGCATCAAGTTCACCATTAATTTGTCGACCCAGCCGACATGGAGCACGGGAACTAAGGAGCCTTCTTCCCAAAGACAAAGATGATCATAGAAAGCAAGGAGATACGCTAGGCACTCAGGGTCGTCTGAGGAAAAGAAAGGACAAAGGGAACCATTGAGAAGGGATAATTTTAAAAGGCGAAATAAAATGTATGAATTAATAAGTTACGCTATGAGAAAAAGTAAGCAGAGCAAAGTATGAGAGAAAATAATAATAATGATGTACCTAAATGATATATTATATGGATTGCAAGTAGTTATTTTCAACATGATCATGAGGCATCCGGCTCAAGGGCTTT